ACAGATATTGAGATATTTTGTAAAATAACAACAATGTAGAAATTTTCCAATACCTAAACAACAGTTACATTGACTTATCAATAGATTTCATTCCTTTTATAAAAACATGAAATTTCCATTGAACAAAATGGAATATTTACCAATCACACAAATTGAAAGGATTTTGAAATTTATCTCAGTCTGAATCAGTGATTTATGTTGGAAACTGATGGTACTTATTTTATTTTGTTGCATTGAAATTTACCATACGTTGATTTTGTCAACTATTAGAAACTATTTCTCTTGATATAAATTTAGGATATAATTCATTACACAAGTTTTTAACTATCAAATTTATTAAAATTAATGCTTAATAACTAAAGTCAAATATGTGACCAAGTTACTATTGATGGATAATTCTTTGTCATTTGTATCATAAAAATTAATTTAACATAAAACAATTGGTGTGTTTGAAAGAATTCGAAAGAATAAATAGGAATAACTAATTAAAAATAAACATATGATTGATGGTAGTTGAATTATGGTATATAATATTCTCAGCAAATTTCACAGCATTTAAAAGTATTTCGTTGGTAAAAATATGTGTTCATTGACTCGAAAATTGGAATGAAATGCGTAATTTGGAAACATTTTTCTGTGACACATTTTCAGTAAAAAATAAGAGATATATTATTTAGGAAAATGGTAAAAAAAAATTTTTTTTTTATCACATTCGATTTGAAAAAAAATCAAATTTTCAATGTTAGTTAATTCATGTATATGCAAAGTGCATTTCACTTGTGCATTCGTAATGCTAATCAAGCTCAGCCAGCTGTTGATCAACGTCACCACAATTTTTTTTCTTTTTCCTCGTAAAACTATCTTCATTCTCAAATTGGTTAGTAAATACACAGAAAAACTGTATAATACCATAATTATCCTTTGATTTAGGAAAAATTTATCCTGGAAAATTGATCTTTTGATAAATTTAGTTGATGCAATTCAAAGACTTGCCTGGAAAATGTAGTATACCTGAACCAATTCCTCGCGGCTTTTCGTTCCTTCGTTTTTCTTTACTTTCCCTCTTCTTTCTTTTTGTGAAAGCTGAGAGAGTTTGTACTTTGCTACGGGCGATTCGACGTTTAATGGAATTCATGCAAAAAGTCGAATGAAGGGCAGAAATGCTAGAGGGTTGGAAATTGAAAATTTCTCACAGTGGGCCTTTGGGCAACTATGCTTCGAAATTACTTTCTTCCATTTCAACTAGCTTTTATTTCTTATTCATTATACACCCACCATTCGCCATTTTTTCATCTCTGATTTACATTGTGCTTATTGTTTTCTCTTTATCAGGTTCATATACGTTTATAATTCATTCTCAGACAGAAACTATTAATTTTTTCTGTACATAACGGGTGCTAGAGACAACGGTAAATCAATTGTCTTACAAAGACTATACAGTTAGTGAAAAACTTGTTGAGTGCAACTTTGTAGGTAAATAATAAGTGGAAAAAAATGATTAATAGTTAACAATTTAATTGAGAGGTGTTGCAATAAAAAATATTAATCAATTTCAAGAGAATTATTCAATTGATTTCATTTAATTTGGCAATAAAAAAATATAAAGTTAAATATTCAGAATAAAAATTTTATGAATATAACGAAAAAATAAAATTATCTGTGAAAAAGTCAATTAATCAATTGCATAGAAAAATTTTAATTAATTATATGCCCACGAGTTATTTTCATTGCATGTTTTAGTTTGATGTTTTTATATTGATTCAATCAAATGGATAAGTACGATATCAAGAAAAATAGAATTAAATAAAAATAAAAATATTGAAATGAAATTAACCGAGTATAAAAATACTTCACTGATAAAGTACTCTTGTCATCCATAATAAATTTAATACTACATAAAACTAGTGAAAGTATAAACGTACAACCTTGAGCTATACCCATTCGATGATAACATAACAAATCAATACGCCTTTAATAATGTTCCGTAATTTTTTTTCTTCACTATAAATTGAAAAAAAAAACGATAAAACTTTGATAGAGTTTCACGTTCCTTCACATTTAAATAATAAATGGATAAGAATTTGAATTATTTATATCACAATACACTAGGAAGTATAGTAAAAGATAAGCAATTGTAGTTTATAATCAGACAGATCCAACACAATTATAAAATAGAGGAGTGCATGCAGAAGAAGGTGGCGAATAAAGGGAGAGCGAGAAACAAGACGTTATGGGATTAGATGTGCGATCATCCCGCGATAAATCAGAATTAATTCAAGCACCATGGAAATCCTCTTTGGATCGAGGAAATGTAGTGGGAGGTTTTACGTTTTACTCGACCACAAGCTTGGAGAAGTTTATAGTAGAAACGAACACCCAGAGATTCATAAATCCAAATAAACGGGCCGAGCAAGGTTTCTCTATCGGATCTTCTTGTCCGCACATTGCCATCGATGGATCCGCTGCAGTAGTTTTCTTCCTACTCTTTGCTACAACAAGTTATCTTGATAAATCGTTCCCTCATCGTTGTTATATTACCAAGAAGGTTTCGAAAATGACCAAGTTTATCTACTACTACTCTTTATGTAATTTATTTTCAAATAAACATCAATATATGAACTTGGAATCCAAGTTATACTTTCTTACTCTCTGTTGGAAAAGCAATCATAAACTGCAATAAAGTGAGACCATTGATTCTTGGTGACCCTCAGGCAACGCATCGCCAGCTCTTCGATCCTCGAGTTCAATGCTAAGATTTTTTTTTAATAAGAAATATATGAGAGTTCTAATTCTCTGTAAAATACAGTAGACTTACGCCAATCGATTGCTATAAGACGCCTTATTACTTGGCGTATCAGTGAAACTCTTCTTTGATTCTTTGGGGATTTTCATGACTTTACGAAATCTTTATAGCGTAAGAAGTTGATTATATAGCCTATATACAATATTACTGTGTGTTTTTCAGCTTATACTTATTTTCAACCGTTAATATTCTAGTATTAATGTGGATTTTTTCAGCAAATATTTTTTAAAAATTTAGTACTTTTTAATTTGAATTTTTAATAAATTAAAAAAGTTGATCTGAATATTATTTAATTACTTGGTTTGCTTTATCTTTCAAGGGGCTGAGTGATCCTTAGGAATTGGCAGATATTTCAGTGGTTTCATAGCTGAATAGTCAGACGAAAAAAGTATCAACAAGAGGTAAAAAAAAATCTCGGGTAAAAAACTAATTCATGAGCCATGCTGTAAAATTTTTCAGTCTATAAAAATGACGTAAAATTCTAGAGTGTGTTTTATAGTCGATAAAAATTGTGGAACATTTTCTGTCTAATATTCGACAGCTTTATAGCTTAAAAAGACCATAAAAATCAAATATAAGTATTAATTTTCAGAAAAAAGAGTGAAATTAATTTGATTATTAATTAATAAAAATACTTGGAGAATAATGAAACAATTATTTTACTGTATATCCTGAAATTTTTATAATTTCATTCCCTTAACAATATAAAATATTATCAATCCCAAGAACAGAATATATCCTTCAGCCTGGCTATAAAATTGCAGTGTATTGTAATAAGTTTTACCGACTAAAAGGCAGATGAGAAGAATAGTCGAAACTTGGATTACAAACGATCGATTGCTATCAGCAATATATTTAACGAACCTCGAAAGCCTGTATCCATTCAGTACATGAGAAATAAAAAAAAAAAAGAAAGAATGCAATGAAGAGAGGATGGAATGAGATATAAAGACTAGAGAAAATACCATGTATGGTTGCTTCTGGTTGACCTGTCTCGCCAAAAATTGAGGTCGTTCTCCAGTGAGGGTTATAGAATTGGGCGGGATGGGAGAGGGAAAAGGTCGAGTCGTTCGGAAACGAGCCGGAAACTCAGGAATCGATATTTAGACTCAGTGAAGCGAATGCAAACGCTGCAACATGAGAGAAAAAAAAATGCATGAAAAAATAAGAGAATAGTAAAGTACGAATCGATACACGTATCTCCAATGTAAAATCTCTAAACATCGAAATTCGTAGATAATTCTGTAAGAGTATCGGGGAAATCCGATTTACTATAATTCTCGTTTTGAATGGAAAATTGCAGATGCTGTGAAGTAAAATAAAAGACAGAGAAAAGTGTCATGACAAAAAGTGAAAATTAATTTCAATTGAAATACCAATTACGTAAATATACGTGAGCAGATGGTGGAAATGAGAAAATCGATCTATGACGGTAAAAAAAAAGTAAAATTCACGGTGAGTATGTATATGTAAGTCTGTTCCTACATCCTCGAGACGTTCCATTCAGTAGGCTGCACTTATACGTTCTACTACTACTTATACTGGACCGCTAGAAAATCGTTGTGGGAATGAGGAATTCTACGAGACAGTCACGAAGGACACCAGAGAGAAAACTGACTCTAGAAGCCATCGGATTCCCAGTAGAAATATATGAGATTCTTCAGATTCCAACAGCGATTCTTTTATCTATTCTGAATGGTAAAAATTGTAAAGCCTCTATTGAGAAATACAGGTGCACACGAGAACCTGAATTTTCTATAAACTACGTGTCAACTATTTTTTATTTTCCCATTGAATAAATGAAATTTAAATGTTTGTTCAAATTATTTAAAAATAGATTCCATGTTTTTGGATCTTTTAATCTAAGTTTTTTTTTAAAAATTCAATTACGTCTATTTGAGGATAAAGTTAATAAGCTTTTCTAAATATGAAACACCAATAAAAATTTTATTTCCAAGTAAAATCAATTTATGATATTTAATTTCATCTCCTCTAAATGGAAATATAAAATCGAAATGTCTTTTCAATTTAATAAAGAATTTTTTTTAACTTAATCTCCATAATTATGTCATTCCCTTCTGATGATCTTTTTTTAGCATTTCATCTAATTGTTGACTCAAAATAAAATTATTGGAAGCCGAGGATATAGATTTTTTAAAGATCAAGAAAAAAATTTAGTAGATTAAAAAAAACTCACCTAATTCTGGACCACAGACTCGAGGGATGATTTCTAAAATTGCACTGCAAGAAGGATCCTCGAAACATAACTGTCTAGCAAACAGACAGTTAAGAATGGCCTGTGCAATCTTGATGTTTGAACCTAGAACAATCCAATAACCAGTCAAGTAGTTAATATTTTTGACAACTGTTCAACATTTTTATTTTTTTACTCAACAAGATTGAGTACCAATAAAAATAATACTTTCCACTAGATAAAGTTGAAGTGTTTTTTTAAATCATAAAATACCTTTTTCAATTACAGAATAAAGATTAAATAAAGAAAAGTAAATGTCAAATATAAAAGAATAATTTTAAATATTCTAAAGAATTTGTATAACTATTTAAATGTTTTCACCTGAATGCAGATAAGGTGAGGGAAAATTACTAGTTATTAGATAAAGAAAATTGCTTTCGATTAGTTGGAAGAAAATTTAAAGTTCAACAGAAAATTGTCCAGGAATAAAAACACGCAGACTGTCGTCTAGATTTTTACGAGGCGCTCGCGTAACGGAAGTCGATAAAAGATGCTCTTGGTGCAGCAATTAATTACAAAACGTGCACTATTCGTGTACTGAGCTATAAAGTATAGCTTCATGCTGTTATGTGCAACCAATGCTCCAGTTTGAAACATGGATCGGGGCTACGAAATTCAACTCCCAAGTGATTTCTTTGCAAGCGGATCTTTCATAAAAAAACTATCTACAAGCACGTTATATTCTCAATGTTACTCTTAAAGTCCTTCAGCACACATTTTGAGATATTATTATTTAAAGAATATTCTGTAGGATTAAAATAAATTTGTAGACATGGTACATCCCTTCATTAAATTTATTACATCTTAGTACATTGATAACAAAAAATAAAGTAAAAGAAAATTATAACATGACATTATAATATTTATCGTTTAAATTCTTGAAAATTTTTTGCTGATCATAATTGCAGGTTTATCATTATTCGAATTGAACTGAACTTTCTCTGGTGATGCATTTTGAAAATTCTCGATATACTGTGGGCCCATCATCAGCTGATTCGGCTAGGAAATGAATAGTTTGTTATTAAACAAAGGTAATAAATCGATTAAAATGACTGATTTAAAAAGTATTACCAGCAGTTTTACATGATTTTAGCAGAGCCTTTCCAGCTATAAATTCATGCGATCGAATTTTAGGAAAGGCCTGTTGTCCTTCACTTAGAATTTTATCAATATCTATTTTGTTATTTTTTATCTATAAAATTAAAAAAACAAAATTATCTTATTCTAAATATTTATTGAAATTGTAGTTTCATCATTGACTTACAAATCCAATGAACTCTGCCATACAATATTTATAAGCACATATTTGTTCATTCTCTACCCCCCCTAAATCGTCTTCATAAATTTCTAAATTTTCTAAAGAAAAATGATATATTGTAATAAATATTTGTATATAATCTAAAAAAGATGGTGAATTTTTTTATTAACCTTCTGAAATCGTCGATTTGCAATGTTCCCAACATCTTTCTTTTATTTTAAAATAATAATCTCTTTTTTCTTGTTCATTAGGCTAAAGAAATTTCATGGAACATTTAAAAAAAGTTTTAATCAATATATTGAACTTACTAGAGCAGTTTAAGAGAATACTTAAATGATGAAATTCATCATTAATATATATATATTAATAATATTTATTTTAATATGTTCGTAATAAATTTATAACAAAGAAAAAATCTTATTGTAATGAATCTAAAGGAAAATAAACGTTAACTTCAAATTATTCTCAGTAAGAAAATTTTTACATACAAACGCTGCAAACCCTTTTTCTATGATGTAGATGAGCACAAGCAAATATATCCACTTGATCTCCATGTTTAATGATGAAATTTTTTCAACTAAACCTGTGATAATAAGGACATCAAAGCATTGAACAGTTTATTTATATGATCACAGAGAACTCAGTTCCATTGAATCCATGATTATAAGTTTATCTGACGAAACTATTATTTTATAAAAAAAAAACGGAAATCACAGGATGTAGTTATCTCGATAGAAACTATATTTGTATTAATAAAATCATGATAAAAATTAAATTATAATAAAATAAATAATGTTACATAAAATTTTTCTCATAATTAATTCATTTTATATCCTACTATTATGTTTCCATTTAGTTTACTTGTGTACATTCGACCACAAAACTGCACTTCAATATTTTCTTAGAAAACTACACTTTTTTAAATTTCTAAAATTCTCATAAACCTAATTTGACATCGTTCCACTGCTCCAAAAAAACTCTTTACGTCATCAGACAATAACCCCTCATTCTTGAGACACCAATCTGTCAACTTGTCTTCTTAATTCTAATTTTTTTCATTTTATATTAGAACGATTCTTGATTGTACAAATTGATTAGTTCCAATTAACTCGAAATAAAATTAAACTACATTATTTATTGTTCTAATTATATTCAAAATATAAATATATATATATCATACGTAATATCCTGTTTTATTGAAAGATAAAAAAATTTTTTATTTTACTCAATGGTTAGTTATGTTCGATGATACATAAGTTCATATTTTTTCTGATGAAATAAAAAAAGTAAGAACCCAATTCGATTTTTTTATCGCAGACAGGAAATTTTTCATCCGTCGACTGAACAATAGATCGAGTTTTTAATTTATATTATTTGCTATATAGAATTTGAAGAAGGGAAAAAAAATATTTTCATAACATAAAGTTGCTTATTTTAAGGCATGTAAATACACCATTTGAGAAAAAAATGATAACAATATTTAATTCATTAACATAATTAATTTTAATTAAGAACTGTAAGAAGATGTAGAAACTGACAATGGAATAAATTATTCATTGTTATTATTATTTCTATTAATATCAAATACTTATTTAAAAATTTATAAATTTTTTTAATTTTTGATGTTACTCTGATAATTAGTAGAACAAGATGATGTTGGAATCGACATAATTGGATGATTCATTAATTGTACAATGACTATTAAAAACATTGACCAAAAAATATAAGAAATTTTCTTTCAAAATAAATTTTTCCTTCAGTGCAAAATAACATTTTTTTTTTTACATTTGACATTATTCTTATCAGATATCTATTGAATAAAGATAGAGATGCATTAGATCCTATAGGCTTTTTATATAACACTTCAATTGAGTTTCGATTTGTGTAAATGATGCTTAAGCTTTGAAATAAGGTTGTCTCACACGTCTGCTGAATTTTAACAAGACTAATATGGTCAATTGTGCGTACGACCACTTCACCCTCATTTTTTTCGACCCACATACCAACCCTAGACTAGAGTATATTTGTATTCTACTCTAGTGCGTACCTTACTTTTATTTAATGATTAACTTGACCCAATAGATCATTTATTTTTATATGCATTTCATGTAATATAATCGTGTTCTCCAAGTGATTTATTTTTACTACTGCACTTTTTGACACATAAAGGTATAGAAATAGTTTATTTCATCATTTTACTTTGAAACTTACTATTTATCTAAAAAAAAAGGAGCGTTAGAGTCCTTAAAAAATGATTAGAACTTTGTAAGTTGATGCAATAAATCTTGTTGATTAGATCTGACTGATTGTGCTATTAGCTTTGGAATACTTTTCCCTCATTTAGCATCCCTTTATAATATAAAAAAAAGATTTCAAAGCAACAGAATATTTATTGTTTCAGTCAGAGATAAAAGTTTGAACTAAGAATTTGGTGTTAGGTATAATGCGATAAAAAAAAAACTTGTTCTATAAGGTCAGACAGGAAAACCGATTTCTTCGACATTTGTTTCCTACTTTTACGTATTATCATTTCAAAAACTTTACAAATACTTTCGTTTTCATTTTTAGCTTAAATATTTATATTTAGTTTACTAATAATTCCAACTTATAGACTCAGATTTTTTATTTAACATCAAAAATTCAATTGTTGGCTAAATAAATTTCAATCTACCACAAACATGATGTGAAAACTTTGAAAAAATAATGATCTCAATTGCAATATTCTCGTAATTAAATTTTCATGTTTAAATGATTAAATAATCACTTCTCGGACTCTGAAATAATTAAAATGCATGCAATAAATGTTTAACCGCATATAAATAAATATAAAATTACATTATAATATCATGTTAATAAATAAAGTAAAGTTTCTGTTTTTTTAATGTTTCTCTATTTTTTATTTATCAACAATCTAAAAAACCTACAGAATTTGAAATAAATTTTTTCGTAGATTTTTTGTCACGAGCATTTTATGTTGTCCCGCGTATTTAATGTGTTTTTTCCAGCTTTATTTTATTCTCTTTTTCTTTTCTCGAGTTTTGCCACAGTTTAATCCTTTTTTTTTTTTGTACGAATGATTCAACATTCACATGAGCTGACTATACTGATGACAAGGCTTGTCCAGGTGCAAGCATTCAATCGAGGTTGCGTGGTTTTATCCCTTCTCTTGCCATCTGTTTCCACTACCCATTTACTATCGAACGTCGAGAACTGTGGTGCTCGTTTCGCGGCTTGTTCGCTTATCTATTTCGTTTCTATCGAACGTTTCACGATCTGGTGAAAACACGTTTATCCTAAAATGCAACGCAAAATGGGTTCACATGGTTACTATACTCTATCCCTTTTCCATTCCACAATCCTCATGTCGTTTCAGCACAATATAAAATGTCTATAAGCGATAGGTGAGATGACAATATGAACTCAATAGAGATTACTGAGCTTCTAGGATAAATAGAGACAAATAACCGTCAATTTCTGAGTTAATGAAATTGTTTTGTCCGACAAGTAAAAAGGTAACTGATTTGTCAATCAATTGAAATAAATCGATACCCAAAACACTGATTGTTAATTATTGTCCTTTTTAAGTAGGGGAAGGGAGAGTAAAATGGAACGCTCCAAAAAATTTACTAATTCATTAAAATACGTTTAAAAATATTTATTGCACTTTTTGTGAATTAATCTTTTAATTTATTAATAAATTAACAATTATTAACATGTCTTAATATATTGGTTAATCTGTTGATTTACGTTTTCTCTTGGTGTTCCTCTTTACCCCACCTTCCCCTACGTTTCTCCAGAATATAAACTAAAATGAATACACATTGCTTGTAACTGGTATTTTTGAATTTAATTTTTAATTTCTTAAAATGTTCTTGTTTAATTATAATTAGTATTTTTTCATTGTAAATATTAAATTATTTTAATTGAAAAGTAATATGAATTAATTTTAAAGTCTGATGGAAAATTCACTTAGATCTACCATTTTTATTTATTTCGGGTAAATTGAAGTTTACTTAGGTACTACAGAAAAATATATATATTGTGTCATTTATTTTTGAAAAAATATTTACTCTTGCCGTACTCTATTTAAACTTGTTCAAAATGAACATCTTTCATTTTCAGTGAATTTACTTGAAAAAATTTCAAATAAAGTAATAGGTTCTTTCAACTTCGACTTGAACTTCGGCAAATTGAAACTCTCTGAAGTCATCTTTTTCTCTAGACTACACATGGGAAATGAAAAATGGGGGATCTTTTCAAGAATTAAAAAAATCCACGTAGGAAATCCTAGGATGGGCCTTATTAGATCCTAATTACATATCCTCATTAGCTTTCAAGCATACTCGACTGAAGCTTCTATCTGAAAATTAGTCGGTATAACAAATAAAATGTGGTATTGTTCTATTTAAACTTTATAACACAATCTTGGATATAATTTGATGCTAATGAGTAAAAAACTCCATTAGATTTGTCATGAAAATGATAAAGTTTTATCACTGCGAATCGTAGTGTTTCATTTCAATGCATGAAAAGTGTTTAAATATAACTTCCCCCATTTGATTAATATTGTATTTACTTTTAATACATTTAAAAATATTTAGAAAATAATTACAATGTTGGCTAAACGGATAATATCATTTTAAAACTCTTCCAAATTGGAGATTTGCTGTGATAGAGCAATAAAAATCAAATCTGTCATTCAATTTTCGATCGGTCGCGGCAACGAAATATTTTTTTCTAAGCAGCGTAGGTGTGAGAAGGTTGAAGAGTTCGTGACAACAGGAGGAAAGAGGGAAAATCTCGTGAGCTTCAAGGCGCTCTACAGCCAATCACAGCACGGATAAGAATCGCACCGACACGCGACACACTAGAGTGACTTTAATTATGAAGCATGGATCGATTTGTCGCCAACGCGCCTCTAAGTAAGATTTTTATTTTTCCACGTGCACCCTTCCTTTCGAAACGCTCATGCACGCACTCTCACCTTCTCGAAACTTACCACCGTAATATACATGCAGGAAAGTTTATGTATGATCAAATTTTTTTCCTCTCTTTGGCTTTTATTTAGTTTTTTTTTTTTTCTTCAACGTTGGTATAGTCACGATAACTCTGAAAACGTCTTGCATGAAACTATGAGGCCTTTCTTCCGCAATAGTATCACATAATATTGATTCATCATCCCTGCTCAAGCATATGAATGTCAACTCTTACTGTTAATACATAACCCACATAAAAGCTTAACTTCTAATGAAATATTCTCGTGATATTTATCATTTTTATGAACTCGAAAGAGCGATACAATATTTCAACCCTTCTGGGAATAAGCGATACAGAACGGAAGTAATTATATTTAAACAAAAAAAAAGGCATGCATAAAAATGGTTTCAATATATCGTTAAAAATAATCTTACAGATAATTTTTATTCTTGTGATAATAATAAGAATACTTGATGTATTTAAATAAACAAGTCTACAAATTACTAATTAAAAAATGGACTAAAAAGTATAATTATTGATAAATGATAAAATCATTAGACAGTTATGATAATTGCTGGATTAAATTTATTTAATA